GGATGATGGGGGGCGATGGATGATTGGTGGCTATGGATGATGTCGCATATTCCGGTCGCTGTCACATGGTGTACGCCGATCGGTTCTGCAATGATCCATTTTCTGTTTTTCCAGAGAAGTTATTAAGAAAGCGAAAACTTTGATCCCTTTACTGCGGATTGGAGCGACCTTCATGTGGGTGTCGGCCTTCCTCTGAGATCTGCTGTTTATAAATGTTGGGTTGGGGGGTGCTGAGCGTCCCTATCGGTGACCCCTGTAATCTGAATCTGAGTGGTGTCCTGAAGTGACGCGGCCCCGCCCATCTTTGTGTGATAGAGCTCCGGGCGCTGGAACCAGTTCAGATCACAGGGCTGCGCTGGCGTGAATCACATAACAAGCGCCCCTTCCTCTATACACATAGCAAGCGCCCCTTCCTCTACACATGCGCCCCTTCCTCTACACACATAACAAGCGCCCCTTCCTCTACACACATAACAAGCGCCCCTTCTTCTACACACATAACAAGCGCCCCTTCCTCTATACCCATAAGCGCCCCTTCCTCTATACACATAACAAGCGCCCCTTCCTCTATACACATAACAAGCGCCCCTTCCTTTATCCACATAGAGCCCGCCCCTTCCACTGCCTGTGTTGTTAGCACCCCGTATCCCTCTCTATCAGTGCAGCGTGCACCCTTCCTTTGTACCCCCGAGCAATGCTGAACATTATCTCCTTGTCTGCTGGCATGTATGGTGACTTTCTGTAGCCGCCCGCAGCCCATAATCAGCCACCATACAGAACTCCGACGTGTTCCAGATAAGGAGACACAGCGCCCGGTGTGCTTCTCGGCTGCCGTGCGCACAACTGTTTACCACTCACCACTGACTGCTGGCAGAGCGTCATTGTGCCTGCCAAACAGAGCTGCCAAGTGTTTACACATCGCTGACAAACGCGTACATGTGTTATGTAAACCTCTGCATGGAGTTTGTATGTCCTCCCTTTGCTAGCGTGCGACTTATTGAAAGGCCGTCTCTACAGTGTGACTGTGTGAGGACATTAGAGTGTAAGCTCCTCTGTACAGAGACTGATGTGACTGTGGGGGGGACATTAGAGTGTAAGCTCCTCTGTACAGAGACTGATGTGACCGGCTCAGTGTTCCCTGTACAGCGCTGCGGTATATGTCGGCGCTATAGGGGCGTCTTCTGACCTTCTAATAATGTTTATTGCTTTGCAGCGAAGTGTGGAACATGTGGACCCGGATACAAGACTCCTCTGGATGCCATGAAAGGTAGGGGGGTGGGGGGGG